GAATTCACAGAGTACCACTAGAAGAACCAAAGTTACAGGTAAGTAACCTAACTTCCTTTGTAGTGGTCTCTGTGAATGCACACAATTGGGTGAATAGCAAGCTGTACTCACCGGAAGGAGGGCTGTCACAGTATCAAGGATGACAGTATCGCCCGTCCAAATGCCGCATCATTTTTAGCTCTGACGTCCAGTCGGTAGTGTCTGGCGAATGTCAGAGGAGTAGCCCAGGTGGCTGCTTTGCAGATGCTTTGCAGTTGGACACCTTTGAATAGGGCTGTCGAGGTGGAAACCGCTCTGATGGAGTGCACCTTTAATCCCTCTGGAAGAAGTTTTTGGGCCAGCTGGTAAGCCAGCTGTATAAGCTGAACAATCCATCTCGATACTGATTGAGAGGAAGCGGGAGCACCTTTGCGAGGACCATGGTAGCATAGGAAGAACTCTGATGGAGTGCACCTTTAATCCCTCTGGAAGACGTTTTTGGGCCAGCTGGTAAGCCAGCTGTATAAGCTGAACAATCCATCTCGATACTGATTGAGAGGAAGTGGGAGCACCTTTGCGAGGACCATGGTAGCATAGGAAAAGACGCGGAGAATGCCTGATATGCTTGGTACGATGTAAGTAGAAGGCAAGGGCCCTTCTAACATCGAGTAAATGGAGTTTGCGCTCCAGCGGTGTGGTTGGAGAAGGAAAAAAGGTTGGAAGCACAATGTGCTGATTGACATGGAATTCTGATACCACTTTCGGCAGGAAGGAAATGTCCATGTATAAGGTAACCTTATCTGGGTGCATCTGAAGGTAAGGAGGGTCTGACCTTAAAGCGGTGAGTTCGCTTGCTCTTTTGGCTGAAGTAGTGGCTACTAGAAATGCAGTTTTTAGTAAGAGGAGTTTTTCTGAGCACGTAGCCATTGGTTCAAATGGAGGTTTGGTAATGGCTTCCAAGACGAATGGAAGTGAGCATTGCGGTGCGATGGTCTGAGAGGGAGGTCATATGTTTTGGAGACCTTTTAAGAATCTTTTAAGTGTAGAGTCAGAAAAAAAGTCTCGCAGAGTATGATCGAGGAGGTTGGTGAGCGACGATTGCTGAAATGTAGACGTTGAGCATGGAGTGAGCAAGTCCCATATTAAAAAGATGCAGCAAGAAGGTAAGTACCGTGTGTAGAGATACTGGTACCATGGTCATGCCTTCTAATTGGGCAAATTTGAGGAAGGCTTTCCATTTTCTCTTGTACAAGCACGAAGTGGAAGGCTTTCATGCATGGTCTAGTACCTCGCGGAAGCAGGGGTTATCCTCCACACTGTCAGGTGAAGGGACTGGACAGCGGGATGGCAAAGAGCCCCGTTGTTCTATGATAGAAGGGACGGTATCTGAGGTGTGGTACACTTCTTGTGTTATTCCTGATAGGTGAGCAAACCACAGTTGCCTCGGCCACCAAGGGGCAATGAGGATTGCATCAGTGCTGTACTGGATTATCCTGGTTACCGTTCTGAGAAGCAGCAGTATTGGAGGGAACAGGTACGTCTGTTCCCCTGACCATGGTATGAGGAAAGTGTCTCCCAGAGAGGCAGTATCTACGCCCACCCTGGAGCAGTATCAGGCGCACTTGGTGTTGAGATGGGACATGAAGAGGTCCACTGTAGGCTGTCCCCAACATTTGCAAAGGTCTAGAAAAACCGACTGGTCTAGTGTCCATTCATGCACTCTGGTGGGGAGCCTGCTCAAGTGGTCCGCCAGGGAATCGTCCCTGGATGCTATGTGGATTGCTTGCAGGAAGATGTTGTGTGAACGGCACCCTTTTCAGAATCAAATGGTCAATAGATCTGGACCGTTTTCCCCCTTGCCTGTTGATGTAGTGCATTTTTGTGGTATTGTCTGTTACCAGTTGCACTGCATGGCCTTGGATGCGTGGTAGGAAGGATTGGAAGGCCTTCATGACGGCGAGTAGTTCGAGCTGATTGATGTGCAAGGCTTTCTGGGTTGGAGTCCATAGTCCTTGGACTTGGAGGTCCTGACAATATGCGCCCCAACCTGACGGACTGGCGTTGGTGACGACCTGTATGGACAGGTAGGGAAGGTGGAACAGCCTCCCTTGTGACAAGTTGCTGGGTCTGGCCCACCAGACAAGATGCCGAGCTACGTGAGAGGGGATTTTTAGTCTCTTTGATTGAGGATCTGTCACAGGGTCGAACGGAGTGATGAACCAAGAGTGCAGGGGTCTGAGTTCGAGTCTTGCATACGATACCACCGCAGTGGTGGATGCCATCAATCCTAGGACGTGCTGAACAGAGTGTGCTGTGAATGTTGCATGCAGTTTGAACTTGCTCACAGCTGTCCTGATTTTGTGAATGCGCTGTGGGGTCAGAAATGCCCTTGTGCGAACAGAGTCCAAGGTTGCTCCTATGTAGGAGACTAGTTGGGAAGGTATCAGGTTGGACTTTTTGTGTTGATTTTTAGGCCTAATTTGTTCAGGGTGGACAAAGAGAAGCTTGTGGCTGAGAGGGCTTCTTGGTAGGATTGGGCCACCAGAAGCCAGTTGTTGATGTAAGGGAAAAATTTTTATTCCTTGAGTTTTCAGGTACACGATGACTGGTGCCATACATTTTGTGAATGTCCTGGGGGCCATGGATAGCCCGAACGGTAGGGCAGTGAATTGGAAGGTATCGTGATGGAACCGGAACCGAAGAAATTTTTTATGAGACAGATGGATGGAGATATGGAAATAAGCATCCTGCAAGTCGATGGAGACGAACCAGTTTCCCTGAGATAAGAGGGGAAGAATGGAATCAAGGGTAAGCATACAGAATTTCTTGTAGTATATGTACCAGTTGAGGTCTCTGAGGTCCATGATGGGTCTTATACCCCCATCTTTCTTAGGGACTGTGAGGTAGTGATAGAAAAAAAACCGCTGTTGTCAGATGGTGTAATTCGAATTATAGCCCCCTTGAATAACCAGGATGAAATTTCGACATGCAGTGGCATGGAGAAAAGGGTAGGTTTGATCGTATTTGGCAGGGGAGTGTGTGAAAATTCTATTCTGTATCCATGCTGAATGATACTTTGGACCCACTTGTCAGTAGTGATGTTTTTCCATTCGTGCAGGAATGGAGACAGTCTGGTAGAAAATGAAGAGTTATGTAAATTGCTTACCCCTGTGCTGAGTCTTACGAAAGGGTTGCTTGGGGCTGTGGAAACATTGCTGCATGAACAGTTGTGTAGCGGACTGCTGAATTTCGTAAGTGCAGTCCTGTTGCTGCTTACTGTACCATGAAGGCTGGTACTGAGTAGATGACTGGTATTGTGGTTTTCTGAAAGCTTGCTTCTGGTACCTATACGGCTGGTATGGTACATAGGATTTCGCGGTTTTTCTCATTTTATGGATGTTATCCATAGTTTCGTCATTCTTAGAGTTGAACAGCCCAGTGGCATCGAAGGGAAGTTCCTCAATTTTGGTTTTGGTGTCATCAAGGATGTTGGCTGTTCTAAGCCAGGCCTGGCGTCTAACAGCAATGGCCGTCAGCATGGATTTGGAAGCAATGTCTGCTGTATGTTTTGCGGCAAATCGCTGTTGTCTGGTAAGGGTGTTAGCTTCTTCATAAACGTTAAGGGCTTCAGTTTTTGAGGGATCAGGTAAGGATTGTAGTGTTGGAACTATCTTGTCCCACAAGTGCTTCTGATAGGTGCCTATGGCACCTTGATGGTTAGCAATTTTAATCAGCATTGCGGCAAATAATACAGTTTTTTGCCAAAGGTGTCTGATTTCTTTCCCTCTTTGTCAGTAGGTGTAGCTGATGATTGGATACGAGATTTGTATTGAGTAGCTTCAACCACTATGGAATTGGGTGAAGGATGCTTGGTAAGGAAGTCAGAGTCCGAACCATGAGTCTTATAGTGGTGCTCGATCTTACGTGATACCTGGACCAATGTAGGAGGTTTGTCCCCAAGAAGATTTTGCCAGTTCAAAGAGAGCAGGTATAAGGCTGAGACTAGGAGGAGAAGCTTTATCCTGCTCCATATCCTGGAAGACAAGGTCCCGTTCTTGTTGAGGCATCTGTGCATCAAGTTGGAGAGTTTTCACCATGCACATAATAAGTTGCGCATAAGATGAGAAGTCCTCTGATGAGGGCTGAGATGATGAATCTTGGGCACCAGTATCAGGGACGTCAGAGTCACTGGACATCGTAGAAGGGTTAGATGACTACGAGGTGAGTGAGGGGGAACGCCTCGGTACTGTGCCTTCAGGTACCATATCCGCATCCGATTGAGTGGATGGGGAGAAAGTTACAGTATCGTGGGCATCAGGACCAGAGTAAAGCATAGTAGCCTGGACCAAGGAATGCTTGCCACTGTACTTAGCACACTTGGAAAGTGCTGTGAGTATCATAGGAAATTGCCTCTTGCAGGATGGTGCTTGAGGCGTGGAAAAGTCCTGCTGAGTATGTGGCTGACACGGGATAGAAGGAGACACGGTATGGTACCACGGTACTTGTGTTGGAGGCTCCGACTGATAGGCATAGCCCTGGTACGGATATGGTTGGAACGGAGCATAGAAGGGAGGACCAAACTGCAGTGGTCTTTGCGGACGGTACCCATCGCCTCCATCCCGAGGCTGGTACAGAGTGGTGTGCTTGCGCTTTGCAGTCCGCTTCCTAGGAGTT